AACAAAGATGAAATGCTTCTGAGAGAGTTATAAACGCTAGTCGACAAATGGAATATAGTCCAGTGATTCCAAAAATGAGCCGGACAACGACACGCAAACAAAAGACAAGCTACGTATGTACGTATGTGTCCGGCATTTTTGGCCCAATATACACGTATGTGGCTCGTCTTTTGTGTGCATGCCCGGCTCACTTCTAGGATCACTGATATAGCCTTCATAAAGCAATTAATGAAGAGAGAGAGAGAGAGAAATATCATTTTACAATTTTCGCAATAGTTAACGAGATATTAATTACTAAAAATTGTCAAAAATTGGTATTCAATAATTTTTTATTCAAATATTATCAACTTTATAGAAAAACTTTACAGAAAAGAAAATAAACAATTTTTGTCTCTTGCAGTTTTTCTGTAAAGTTGTAACATGCTGTAACATACTTTTAGTAAAAAATAGAGGAATATTAAAAAGGGAATTGAGGTTAGGTTAGGTTAATATCAATTCTCGTATATATTACTAGAGCACTAAAGATATAGGGTATTCCTATCCGCCGTTTTCGTGCCAAATCACTACAGCGAGTGTTACTACAGCGAGTGTTACAATACTGATCGAAAGTCGCCGCATTTAATCCAAAAAGTATGTATTTTTTCCATTTAAAAAAAAAGACATTCACACAAACACGAAAATAATTCATTTCTGTGTCAGAATAGAAATTTGTTCTTTTTATCTGCAAATATTTATGTTTCAGAAAGATAACCCTCAAGACGTTATTTTCTTGTTGCAGAAATAAATCGTATAAGGGCATAAGTATTCGCATTTAAAAAATGCCTGGCTGTTCCGCAGTTAATTGCAGTAATCGGGTTGACAAGGGCTATAGGCTCTTCTTGTTCCCGAAGGGTAAACGTGGGACAAAATGGGTTGACAATATGCGACGAGATAAGTGAACACCGACCACCTCTTCGCAATTGTGTGAGGTAAGTATCAAAATAAGGATATCATTTTTTTTATCATTTCACACAATGGCCTAATACTCAACGCTAATAATATTTTTTTGTTTGTGGACAAAAATTAAAAGGAGTCTCGCTACACTGCTCAGTAGCTTTCTCTTGATTAACCGAATTCAGCAATAGAAAAACTTAGACGATTAAGATTCTGGATCTTGCAATTCAATCTTCTTCCATTAATATATAGTATTGCGGTTTGAAAAATTACCAATTCTTATCTTTCTGAGACATAAATATTTGCAGATAAAAAGAACAAATTTCTATTCTGACACAGAAATGAATTATTTTCGTGTTTGTGTGAATGTCTTTTTTTTTAAATGGAAAAATACATACTTTTTGGGTTAAATGCGGCGACTTTCGATCAGCATTATAAGACCGGAATCAGACTACACATTGAAGATTAAGATTGAAGATTCAAAGATTGAAATTTGACCAATAAGGACAAAAAAGATCCACATTAATAAGAGTGGAATGGTTGAAAAAAAGATCAAGGAGAAATTTTTCACGATACCTGACGTGAGTTCGGTATCAGAAAAGTTTACTCCAATTGCAAATAGGTTTCATTGTAAGTTGGCCTTCTCGATACCAAATTCGTTAAAAAATTTTATTAGAAAGGGCAAAGATCAATTGGATCCCTTATGCAATCAAAATGTTGTTTATAAGATCTCTTGTGATGATTGCCAAGCTAGTTACGTGAGTCAGACCAAAAGACAGTTAAAGACAAGATTGTACGAACATGTCTCCGATATTAATAAGAAGTCAAAATCTCCAACGATGATTACAAGTCACCGCATTGACCAGAATCATAATTTCGACTGGGGCTATGTTGAAATTTTAGACAGAGAAGCTTCTTTTAATGAGATTAATATCGGATGGTTCACATAAAACGACAAAAGCATGGGATAAACAAACAAAATGACACAGATTCTTTGCCAGAATCATATCTAAACATTATTCAATCTCTTTCCCCTTCTTAACATTGTCCTTTATCTCCTTCCAATTATCTTTCCTATTTCCTTGTTTCCTTTTTGTCATAACATCGTTTGACATCGTCGAGGATAAATGTTCTCTCCAATAGTATTATGGCTTACCTTTTATTAAATTTAACTTAGTTAATTGCGTTTTCCTCTCGGCGTCTGACTTACATCATTAAGACAATTCAAGGTATACCATATTTATGTAATTTAATTGTTACTAATTTACTATAAAATGTACATATTTGATAATTTTAAACTGTAGTGCAATGTCAAGTTATTATTTATTTGTAAGATTGTAGAATTATGAAAAGTAAGATGAGATCACCTTTATGATACTTCTACATATGGACCGCATATTGCGAATACAAAGTAACCGACGTTTTTATTGGACATTATAATGTGACTGAATATTCCGATAATTTATATAATATTGCTTGTTGTTTTACATTGAAAATGACCCGATCGGCGTCGAAACGTTTGTATGTACGAATTTTAAATTATTAAATATTTTACATTATAATTGGCTCATAGCCTTTTTTTTATTTATTAATTTATTCTGATTGAGCCATATTAAGAATTATAAAATAAATATGTTAGTGTATTAACCTATATAAATATATATATATTTTTATCGAAGAAGAAAAGAACAGTGTTTTCTTTATTTCGTTTTCTAAAAGTTCGTTTTCGACTCAGTTTAATCCGCTCTACTTGCCCACGAGCGTTGTCGGGTGAAACACCCTGTGTATATAGGTACCCAGATAGCAACGTGTCTGTCTTGTTGTTGGGATGTTGTTTGCTAAGTATGCATTGCTAAGCATATGTTGCTAGCAGAATTGCAGCAACTGAGTTCTCATTTGTTGGCAACATGATGTCTTCACGATACGATAATTTTGAGTAGCAATTTGCCAGCAGTTTGCCGACAACTTTAAAATCGTCATCATCAAAATTCGTACTACTGCCATCATGTTGCCATAATAATATGCATCATCACACAATGCTGTCATATTGCCGACAACACAAGATAACATTGATGCACCTATCTTGCTGTTAAACTGCTGGCAATATACACATTGTTGCTTGCATGTTGCTAAATGTCGGTATATTCGAAATCGTTTAAGACAAATCTATGGCAAGTTGCCAGAATCATAAGCAATCACAGATTTGTGCGATCTTGCTGAGACACGCTTTGCTATCTGAGTATATATATATATATATATATGTGTGTATATATAATACGTATATATAAAATTGTGAATTAAAAAATACGTGAAAAATACGTTTTTTAAATTATAATTTAAAAAACGTTTCCGGTGAAACGTTTCTTATTGATGCTAAACGGTTATAAATGGATATGTTTAAGAACCCTATATAAAACATACGTGTGCTACCTAGGAGATTATGCATGCGCATTGAGTAAAAGCTGGTAAATGCACTTTACGTGTCTTTTACGACTATTTACTGATTGTCAGAGGAGATAAGGATAGTCTCGACTCATTTTTATAAGTGTTTTAAAGCGATCTCATCATTCCGTTTCATCCAAATTCTCTTTATTTACAAATAGCATGCAAGAAAAATCGACGTGTTGCTCATGACACATTTCTCGCTTATGACGTCACGATTCAATATGGCTGAGATGAGTACTCAGTGTCATATTGAGTTGTGACGTCATAAATAATTAAAAAGATAATTTTTGCATTGTTTGTTTAAAAAAAAAATCAAATTTGGAGAAATGTAAAAGAATTGCTCATATACATATATATTTAATTGCATATAAAATTATATATAATGTATATACAAGCAATCTTTTTACATTTTTCCAAACCTCTTTTTTTCTAAAAGAAACTGCGAAAATTATCCTTGTAATTATTTTTTATATTTTCTCATTATTAATATTATTTTTATTATAGTAAACAGTAATTTTACAGAAGAAAGAAAGATGTACAGACATACTATATATGGACATATTTCATGTATAATAATAATATATTATATATTTATGATTGTTTATATACATATATACCTATTTATATATTCGTGCATGAAAAATTGTTTACGTGGCAATCAGCAAACAATTTTTAAAAGCATTTAAAAAAAGTTCTTATAAAGATTTTTAGAAACGTTAAAAATGATGGATTATCTTTTCTTATTAAAAAAATGTTTATTTTAACGTTTTCAAAAATATTTAAAAATATATTTTCGAATTGCTTTTAAAAATATTTTTAAAAATATTGTTTGCTGATTGGGTATGGCATCATTATGTAATTGTGATAAAAATTTTATCTCACTATGACACTACAGATCAAAATATTAATGTGATATAACTGTGATATAACTTTTTAATGTTTTTGTTCTAATGTTTATAAAATATTTTTTAATGTTTAAGAAAACGTTTCTTAACGTTTAAAAAGTATTTCTTCCAACATTTGAAAAACATTTATTTAAGATTTAAAAAATAATTATTTTACATTTAATATATTTTTTTAATATTTGAGAATGTTTAACTCCAATTGCTCAGCGAAAAAGTTGTTTCCTCTCTCTCTCTCTCTCTCTCTCTCTCTCTCTCTCTCTCTCTCTCTCCTTTTCTTCCGTTTTTTATGGGGAAAAGTTTCCTGTAACCACCTTTGCGTGGCAAACTGATTCCATTTTTTAATATACAGTGGCGTGCAAAAGTTTCCGGCCAGTGACATTTTGTACTCTAATTTACAGGAAAAAAGCCTGATAAAATTTTAATCATTATTAGGTGTTGGTACAAGATGTTGGTAACGAAATAATGTAAAGAAACAATAGTGTTTATGTTTATGAACATTTTATTATTATAATTGTCATATTTACTGAGACTTTTGCACGCCACTGTAATATTCGCTTTAAAGTTCGACGCGACTAATATTATTTTTCATTCGCAATGTTCCCAGGAAACTTGAAACATAAAGCGCCATATTGTATGTTTGATCGACTTTTGCAATGGCGATTTTCGACAAGTAATAGTATAAATTGCGAATATGATTACAGCTTACGAGACGATATCATGCGGCTGTGTTGCTTATTAAGAAAGAACGGGGTTGATCCGCGGTCGAGACTGGAAAATGGTACGAATAATATTCACACACTGACGTAATCGTGAAATAGTAATGCAAAAGCGATATATGCGTTAGAAGAATGATCTTAAACAAAATATTACAAAATATTTTTTTACTATGTAAATCGACGTAATATTTAATTGGCTTAATATATCAAAATAATATTATATTTAACATAATGACTTAATGTAATTTTTTCTGTTATGATTTTTTAATCAAGAAGCACCGATCATATAACAGAATTTTTATTCATTTTTATAGGAGCTACAAATAATCAATCAGTAGAGGATATAGAAAAATTTGGACTTTACCAGATGGTGATATTCGCATTTATTGGCATAACATTAATGCTAACGGCAATGTTTGCGTTTTCTTATATGTTTATTACGAGCGAAGTTAAATACAGGTACGCGTATCAAACCTATTTGAGACAATGTCAAACTTTTATTTGTAAGAAAGAATTTAGAAAGAAAAAAGCAATTGTTTAAATTTTAAATATTAATATATAAATGTTTAAAATTTAAATATAGATGTTCAGTGCCAGAATGCGAGCATGCAGAGAACACGACGTTCGCACCGCCGTGGCTGAATGCTTCCGCGCCAAAAATCAACGGAGTCATTTCTCGTTGCACGCGTTACGTGATACGAAATGATCACCTAGGCACATGTACAGAAGCATCGTTCACCAACGTTACTCGCGACTGTGATTCTTGGATTTACGATCCCGACGAGTACACGATACTCAACGAGGTAATGTGACTCACAATAATTAACGCGTATTTTTAAACTCGAGATTTAACAACAGATTGATTTCCTTTTTCCTTTTTATTCGCTTATTTCGACGTAGTGGGGTTTTACTTGCGATGATAATCAATGGAAACTCACATTAGTGGGCACGGTGCAAAATATCGGTCAAATTGTCGGCTTAACGTTTACTGGATACATATCTGACAGGTGAGAGAACGGAGTATATATATATATATATATTTTTTTTTTTAACGAGAAAATGCATCACTATCATGTCCATCTGGTGGCAATACCACATGCTCGCGAGCGAATTTTAAGTTTACTTAGCCTTATACTTTAAAACTTTTATTATTTTAAGAATTCCAGACCAAAAATAATAATACCTTTAATTTTTCTAAAATTATTTTAAAGTCAGACTTGAAATATTTTAAATATTTTAAATTCTTAGATTACTTTAATAGAATAAGCTTTACACTTTAAAGTTTAAATTACCTCAAAATTTCTTAAGTAAATTCTTAAAAAGTTACCTTTAAAAACCTTAACTTCATTTAAAGTAAATTTTTTAAAGTAAAAAATACATTTAAATTTCAATATATTATATGACTAATTTATAGTCATATAATATTATTATATATAATAATTAACTGTTATGTATAATAAAATCTAGATGACATTGAACTGCAAGGTTCACGAAACGTTGGCATTTCAAGAATGGATCTAAACACGGAGAAAACCCGCGAAATGCAAGATTGTCACATAGGTAACACCCGTGAAAGCCTCAAGAATATTAATAAAATCTAGAATTATATTTATATTAAATTAATTGTTATATGACAATGTAACTTGTAAAGGATGACGTTTGTCTCTTTCTATCATATACAAAATAATCGAAATGAGCAGTCTAGTTATATAAGTATGTGAATGCACATCTGTGGGTCCACGTTCATAATTTTATTTCCAGATATGGGAGACGAGTCGTTTTGACGATGGCGACGGCTCTGTCTGGAGTTAGTGGCTTGATACATTCCTTCTCCGTGAATTATTATATGTTTCTTGTCTTTCAATTCCTTAATGCCTTCATAGCGGCTGGAATATACGACGCGGGATTCATTTTAGGTACGTTAATAACAGTACAATAAATATGTATGCCGAGGGGGTAACCACTTAATGTAATCGTGAGACAGAGTCCTCGAAATCATTATGAAATTCATATGAAATCTCTATGTATAATCCGATAATTACATATGCAACCACGAGAAATCATTGTATAATATTAAATAAAATCGTATATTTTACCAAATTACTTCATATGTAGTGGAAAAAATTATTTGTAATCAGATGAAATCATATGAAATCATGTAATCTGTGGGACCATATTTCAGCTAGTGGTTACCCCCTCGATGTATGCCTGGGGAGAATAAAAAATATATTATACGACACCTTTAAACGTTATGTTCATACGTCCTGTTCTGTTTACAAGTGTTCACGAATGGTGCAGCGGAACAAATTCTTGATGTAATGCTCTTTATTCGCGTTTGAATGCAAATACGCGACATATAGACATTTTCGAGTTGTTTATTTTGAATTTATGTGTTTATTTAGTGGTTTATTAAAATAATCAAATTGACAGAACTCGTTAAATGTAAACTGTAAGTAAGAAAAATTTAATAATCAATTACGAGCAGATCAAAATTTGTATTGCTAAAACATTTATTTTCACACATTCCGTGATGAATCAAAATAATAAAATAAATGAAGTCTAAATAAATATACGTTTATGAAAATCATAATTAAAGCTTTATGTGACATGCATTTAGATCTATATAAAATTGATCTAAATGCATGTGTGGTCGCAGATTTAATAAACATATTCTTTGACAAAGTATTCCCGGGGGGGGGGGGG